TTTTCCGGCGGATCACCGCCTCACCGTCGTCCCCCACGGTGTCACGAGGTTGGCCGAGCTTTCCGAGACTTCTCCGTGCTGTTCTTGATCTGAATACGGAGGCCGGATTGCTCGATTGTGCGTCGGGGCATCGTTAAACGAGGTAAGTTCACTTGAATGTGGTTCTGTGAATTCGTATCCAGGAAGACCTGCATGTTTGAGATGCTGATTTGAGCTCGTTAATGTCGAAATCTGGCAAAGTGACAAACTAAAGAATCGTAAAACACGTCTCAAGCTTCGATTTGATATATCGCATGCCTCAATCGGACATAATTTTCTATGTCAAAACACTTTCGGAAGTTAGGATCAGAATCTGGTTTGTGATGTTCAAGTCTGTTCTGATGATTTCCTGATTGACGTTGTGCTGTTTGATGATTTTTTCTGATTTTCTACGATCATTTTTTGAAAAAACCTTCTTCATGAAAGTTGTAAAACACATCTTAATCTGTTCATCATAAAATTTTCGTAAAATTCCAAGTATGTTAGCCTGGTACGATCTGCAACGTCATTTATGCATGATTCGGGTGACAGACTGGTTTCTGATTGACCTTCGTGTGTTCTTCGATTTTTATAAATTCGTGTGTTCAAAATATGGAAAAGTTTTCTTCACAAAAGTTCACACTGAGATCGAGATATTTCTATTGATACTATTTTCATCAAAATCGGAATTCATTCAAATTTTCAAAAGGAATTTTCATTATCTAATCAGTATCTGTGTTCAGATCTGATTTTCATTCCTTTGGAATCCAAAAGATGTTTTTCCGAATTTGATAAAGTTAGAGTCCTCTTTTGCAAAAAATCAAAATTACAAAGTCGTTCATTGGGGTCTCATTATGTTGACTGAAAATTTTGAGGGCCTAATAGCCATTTTTAGAGGGTCAATTTGTTTAAAATTTCATAAAAGGTCTTCTCGGGTTAAAATTTGATTTGCAATTGAGTCCTTTGTAAAAACCGAATTTTATAAAAATTTGGAGGACTTTTTAGCAAAAACTCAAAATTTTCACATGGTTTTGATAAGGTTTGTTATTTTTCCCGCCATTATTTTGAAATCCATAACAGAATCGGGTCCAGCCTGTCACCGAGAGTGAATTTGTCATTTTCGTGAAAATCGATGAGGATTTAGAAAAAAATGGTTTTCTTGACTTTTGATCCTCATGTCATAAGCTTTCTAATGACACCTTAATCGCTTCATTTGAACGTCATTAGGGTAGTTAATCACATCTGAACAGAAGCAATCCGAATTAGATAATAACTGAATAAGTGGTCTCTTTATGAAGCCCACTTCTCATTGTTTGATTGGCTTCGAAATAAGGCCCATGGGCCTGAATGCATGCTTATTTCATTGCTATGCATGTGTTTGTTAGATGAATGTTAGGCCCGGTGCATGTTTGGCGGGTAGCCCATTGTGATCATTTAGAACCCGACTTTAGGGGTTAATTTATATGAGTCGCCGTTTTGTGAATGCAAATGGTAGCCCATTATCGTTAACTATTAATCAAATAATGTTAGATGATTAGGTGGGTGGTGAATGGAAACGCATGAAAAACAATGGCCGACCCCGAGGCCCGTGCTTGATTAGTGAATTGTTTGCACCATTGTTTTTCTTTGGTTATTCTTTTGGACATTGTTTGTCGTGAATATATGTTGTGAATGTAAACGCCGACACCCGAGAGACGGTCCATGGGAAGATAATCCAAAATTGAAAAAGACCAAGGCGATTGACCGATGTCCAATCCGGTCTCAATTTGTGTTCATTTGATGGTGGCGATAAACCGATGTCCGATCCGGTTTCAATTCATATTCAATTCATTCCCGATCATGTCTCGGGTTTTCAATTTGTGTTGTAATAAACACCCGACGAGTTGCGGGTTTGTACTTTTTTCGCACTTAGAACTAGCTTGTCTTTTCAATACTTCGAGTGTTTACTTTACGTAATGCCTTTCAATACAATCGCTTCTTTCTTTCTTTTCTAGACTAAGATAGGATTAGTTTAGAATCTTAAATGAAAACAAAAAAACAAGATGCATGATCACATTGTGGACTAAAACTTTGACATGAAAATGGTAAAGAACAAATGCATGACAACTTAGATAACAACCATGTTAAGTTTAGCGGTACCGAAAGGGCGTTAATAGAAATATTAACGTAAGCTAGTCCCCGAACCTTTGATCTCTGGTTTCCGTAGAAACCAATACGAAATTCCCACGTATTGCTTAGGTATTCTAGCCGACCTCCGACCTAGGCTAGTGGCGACTCCTTAAAAGATAAAATTGATCCTCTGTCACGCGAGGTATGAATTAGGGAAGATTCACGTTCATGAATAATGGACTGTATGGATGAACCATCTTTTATGATGTACCGTATAGACCGTTTCATGAACACTTACCTCTAAACCCGCCTCATCGAGATCGGCCCTCGAGAGGTAGGTCGCGACACAAGATAGACAGGAAGAGCACTTCTGGAACATGTCAATTGCTAGGACACATGCTGTAACAGCCTGAATTTCGACGTAATTCCGGGATCAATAAAATTTTACATTATTTCGCATTTCATTTTAGTAAGTCTCGCGTAGAGCTGATCACTCTTGGGATACTAACCAATGGGGTATGGCTAACTAGGAGAACGGTACGTGGATCAGGGACCCGATAGCAAATCGGACCCCGATCTCGAGAAATGATGAGGGAATATTTTAGGCTGACACGGGCCGATCTTAGGAAAAGTGACGGATTTGGTTTGGCCAAGGCCAACGATGTACAATCAGATCGCAGGTGATTCTGCACGACCGAAAGTGCACGTGGCCAACCAGTCCCGAACTTAACCCGAACGATCATGACCTCTGGAACTGGTGATAATTCTTCTCCCTCTCTATGATTGGAACCGTCATGACCCGGATAACCCTAGGTCGATACGCGTAACCCCTAATCAGCCGCCCGTTAGTGAGAGACCTTGAAATTTGAAATTGAACGAGTTTTGGTCACGAAATTGGACCCGGACTTCGGTGTCGATTTTCGAAGACTGAAGAGACTATTTTTGAGAATCCGACGTCATATTATGTTGACCACACACATTTGGGGTTGGTACAGTCGAAAAATGGAATTTCGACCCGGGGCCGGAAAAATGACCGTTTTGCCCCTAAGCCTAATTTTGGGTTCCGAATTTTGGGAAATTATTGGATTAATTAAAATAGAATTTCAGCTCAATTATTGGGGCTGAAGACCATCTTGCCCCTCAATTATTGGATAAGATGTGATTAGGGCCATTAGATTAGGGGTATTTTGGTCAACGGGCTTGGATTTGTGACACTTGGCATCCACTAAACCCCCATATTTGACCCCCTTTGACCCATTCTCTCTCCTCATTTTCCCTCTCCCTCCATTCGGCCGACCCTCCCTCTCTCTCTCCCGCTAAGCTCTCCTTCTCGGCCGTGAGACCGCCGTAGACGCCGGAGCCGCTCGCCGCCGGAACACTGCCATGCCGTTGCTCCGCCGTGCCGTCGCCGTCCACGCCTCATCATCACCATCCCGTCCGTTTCCCCTCTCTCTCGTTCTCTCTCCCTCCCTGTCAAGGACCGCCGGAGCCGCTGGCCGCCAAGAGCCGATCACCGCCGAGGCCACCGCCGTTGGAACGCCGCCGCCGATTCAGCCGTTCATCGGCAATTGGCCGCCCGTTCTCGTCGTCCTAGTTTGGATTTGAGTGAGTATATTTCCCTAAACCCGGACTAGATTGATGTACGTCTTTAGACGGGCCCGGTTTAGTAATATTGCTCGACTTAAGGAGATTTTGGTACCGTTGGCTCGAGGTTGTTGTCGTGATAAATTTGGTGGATCATTGGGTTGATTTGAATGAGGAATTGAGACCGGGAATAGGCCGAGTAATGGCTGTCCATATAGTGGATTGTTGGGTTAAAATGGACCATTTGAGTATTATATGTCTGAATTGCCGGGTATGCCCGGGTTGACTGATTTATTGATTGTTGTGCTCAATTATGGTAAATCGAGTAATGCCCTGTCGTGTGTTTGTGTGGCCAAATGGTGCGGAGTATAATTGGTTCTTTGATGGCCTAAATTGAGTGCCAATTGGTGAATTGTGTTAGGCCGCACGGTATTAATTGGCCAAGTGAACACGTTGCGTGTGAATTGGGCACAGTGTGGTGATGTTGGCTTGATTGGATGCCTGTGTTACAGTGATGCTCATGATGCATTGTACTGCATTGCATGGCCACGCATTACGTATGCCAAGAATAAGGCGTGTGATGAAATTGTGCGAGAATGCGTGCCTGCCATGAGCATGTGATCACCTAATCGCCCTAATGCGTGTTACGCGGGGTTCAGATAATAACTGGCTGTGTGTATGTGTGCTCACATTTCGCCCTGATGCGTGTTACGCGGGGTGTGCCGTCCTCATGCACTTTGTAGCAGGACGATGCTCGGTTTGTCCGGAAGACGACCAACCTGATGCGTTTTACGCGGGCTCTGATTCGTGAGGAGATCGGTGTTGCGCCTCATGCATTTTGTAGCAGGCTAGAGACACTGAGCCAGGGGCGTTTTTACACTGGCCACGGAGTGTTGTGATGAGATCAGTGTTGCGCCTCATGCACTTTGTAGCAGGCTATAGACACTGGACCTGATGCGTTTGACGCGGGTCGTAATAAATTAATAATTGAGCATTGAGCCAGTGTGCAGTGTGAGCCAGAATGAAGCATGGCGTGATGATGACATTTGCATGCATAAGAATGCATGAACCAGTGTGCGAGCGTGTGAGACTCGGTGAATGGCATGCGAAATGAACACTATTAAGCATGAGCATGCGTATGGCGTACGTATGGATAGTGTGTTCGCGTACGTGACTTGATTATTATATTGAAATGCCTAACCTGCAGGGTTAGCGAGGTGAGTGATCTGGGCCTGAGGGCCTAGGTCGATTGTTGTGATTCGACTCTTGAGTGTTTTACTGCTTGTCAGGAGATGTATGTTAGCCTAGCCTAGGTTTAGGGGTTGTTACTCGCTGAGCTTGTCTCATTGTTGTATAAACTCACTCTTTTCAGAACCCCAGACTTGAAGATGCCTGATGCTCCAGTACATTTTGGTGTCCCGCGCCAGCTAGGGCGGACGACGACCGATCATCCCATAGGGAATGGGGATGTGTATGTTAGATTTCAGACCTTGATTTTGGTGGATGTGGGAGAAGCGTACCCCGAACACCATGAGTATATAGCTTGGTATCTTAGGAGTCCAATTGGTTTGCTCGGACCTCTTCGTACTTTTGATCTCCCGATTAATGGGCAAGGATAGGTCGAACCACAATGTCCTGATGGAGAAGTGGTTAGTCCCGAGGCGTCGTCTAATGGGAGTTCGAGTGCTGGAGCTGAACCAGTTGTCTGGGAGATGGATGATATGGAAGCCGGCAATGAACCTGAGTTTATGGAGCAGGACGTCAACCAGATGGGTGAAGCTGAACCGAAGGCCATGGTCCTGGATAGAGAGGAGGATGGGGAAGTTGCAGAGTTAGGCTCGGATGAGGAGATAGGTCTATACCTTGACCTGGAGTTAGAACCGGACTCAGAGGATGAGAGGACTGCAGCAGAAGACATGGATTCTGAGGAATCTGAGTCTCAGGAGAGTTCTTCAGAGGAGTCCTCAGAGTCTGATCCGGATTGGGAGCCCTAGTATAGGTCCTAGCCCTTAGTCGGGAAGCTCGTACCTTTTTGACTGTGACCTTCCCTGTAGATGGCCTAACCTTCTCCCAGCCATTTGTCCCTTTTTGATCTGATGGCTGCTGTATGTTGGTTTTGTTCTTATCTTTTGTGTTGTATAAAAAGTACTTTGTAAAAAAAAAGGTTTCCTAGTGTAATGAAAATGTATATTTTTCCAGTCTTATGGATTTTAACTGTAGTGCTATCCTTGGTTATCCGATTTATTGTACGGGTGTATATATATTTATATACGTCGCTTCCGCATGTGCAATGATCTGTGTGTTTTGGGCATTGGGTCGGCGACGCGTCCTGGGAGCGTTGTATCAAATTCGACCAGTGGCGGGATGCTCGCGCTTCGTGGGGTACGGGGCGTGACATCCTCATTTGATTTGGTATGAGAGCAAGGTTAGCTCGGTCCATTTCGGTCGAAATTTGGAGTGATAAGGAGCGATGAGACCATGGGTAGCCCATAGGGTGACCTCGTATGCTAAGTACATCTCCTGACAGTTTGTGCTTTGAGTGATTGCTTGATTGCGTGACCCGTAACAATGCAGGTGCGGCAGGACCCGAGGTAAAGTATGCTAATCTCCTTGGGTGAAGTTTTGTGTTCGTTGTGTTGGAACGCATGCTGAGTGCTAGCTTATGGTGCTAGATACCTGCCTAGGACTTAGACTGGGTTAGATTGGTTTAAGTCTTTAATTCCTTAGTGGAATTATAGCAGGTAGTTGAGTAGCCGAGTTCGTAAGGATGAGTAGGAGAAAAGAAAAAGAGCCGCAAGGTCAGTCAAGCGAGGGAGTTCGTGAGGCTAGAGATCCAAGGTTCGACGATGTGATGGATACCCTGTGGGAAATAGGACATATAATGGGAATGCAAGCGCAGGAAAAGGCCGCAGCTTATGCGCAGGCTGCTGAGGCCGCCCCAATTGCTGGTAACAAAGGTAATCAGGCCTAGCAAGGGTTAGGCAGATGCCCCAATTAGTGGAAGAATTTATAAAGTTGAAGCCGCCTAAGTTTCACGGTCGTGGTGACCCCGAGACTGCCTCGAGATGGGTGGAAGAACTGGAGAAAACTTTTAAGGTTTTGGGGTGCACCGATGAAGAGAAGGTAACGTTGGCGATTTATCAGTTGCAGGATAGTGCCAATGATTGGTGGAATGCCACAGAAGGTAGAGTATTTCCAGAAGGAACGGCCTCGACTTGGGCGGTATTTGTTGAGAATTTCTATGAAAAGTATTTCTCGGAGAACGCCCAGGAAAAGAAGTTAATGGAATTTATGCGATTGCGCCAAGGTCAGATGACCGTTGACCAGTATGAAGCGGAATTTGCAAGGTTGGCGAAGTTTGGCCCGACAATGGTAGAGAATCCAAGAGATAGGGCTTGAAGATTCCGGGACGGATTGAAGCCGGATCTTCGGAGCCAAATTTTGTCGCATGACATCAAGGACTATGGGGAGATGTATAAACGAGCTCAGATTATTGAGCGAGATCAGTAGGAAAGGGCAGCCGCTTCGGGATCGCGGTTTGCCCAGAGTAGAGACAATCGCCGTCTGGGGAAGAGACCTATGGCAGGAAATAGACGGTTTGTCCCACCCGTTAGACGGTATATAGGGAAACCGAGCCCCCAGCCGAGTAGATTTGGGGCATGTTTCAAGTGTGGGAGTTTGGAGCACCAGATTCGGAGTTGCCCGCAGCAGCAACCCTTAGGACCGCCCAAGTTGCCGCCTCCGCGAGTTGGAAATCAAGCCGGACCTCCCCCACTGGCCAATCAAGGACGACCACCGGCACAAGGAAGAGTTTATGTCATGGCGCGCAGAGAAGCTGAGGACGCGCCGGGCGTGGTCACAGGTACCATTTCTCCTTGCGATCATGCTGCTTATGCGTTGTTTGATCCGGGGGCGACCCACTCTTTTGTTTCGGAGCAATTTGTTAAGTTAGTTGGTTTGGAACCGGTGTTGCTTGAGACTATGCTTAGTGTGTCGACGCCTATGAATGATAAAATGTTAGTCTCTTTTGGATGTCCCAGCTGTAAGATTGTGATTGGGGGTAGAGAAGAAAGTATCGACTTAGCAATGTTGGCCATGTTCGATTTCGATGTGATAGTTGGGATGGACTGGCTAGTGAGCCAGAAGGCCGTCATGGATTGCGGTAATAGGATGATTCAATTTAATCCAATTGGACGTCCTAGGTTTGAATTTCAGGGAAATCGAGGAGGAACCTCGATCCCTTGGATTTCTTCGCTCGAAGTGACGAAATTGTTGGATGATGGATGTAAAAGATATTTGGTGAATGTTGTGGATCCAACAATGGCGGAATCTAAGTTGGAAGAGATACCCGTAGTATGCAATTTCCCCGAGGTCTTTCCTGAGGAATTGCCGGGTTTACCGCCCGAGCGAGAAGTGGAATTCGTCATAGAGTTGGCACCAGGAACTGAGCCGATTTCAAAGGCACCATATCGGATGTCCTTGTCAGAATTGAAAGAGTTGAAAGTCCAGATACAGGAATTATTGGACAAAGGTTTCATTCGTCCTAGTGTGTCTCCATGGGGAGCACTAGTCCTGTTTGTGAGGAAGAAAGACGGGACATTGAGGTTGTGTATTGATTACCGGCAGTTGAATCAGGTGACGATTAAGAACAAGTATCCACTGCCGAGGATTGATGATCTATTTGATCAGTTGCAAGGAGCATCCGTATTTTCTAAGATTGATTTGCGGACCGGATACCATCAGCTGAGAATCCGAAAGGAGGACATACCTAAGACCGCTTTTAGGACGCGGTATAGGCACTATGAGTTTACAGTGATGCCCTTCGGATTGACCAATGCCCCTGCTGCTTTTATGGATCTGATGAACAGGGTGTTCAAGGAATTTCTGGATAGATTCGTCATAGTGTTCATCGACGACATTTTGGTGTATTCGAAAAGCCCGAAAGAGCATGAGATGCATTTGACTGAGGTTCTACGGACTCTGAGAGAACATGCGCTCTTCGCCAAGTTTAGTATGTGTGAGTTTTGGTTAAGTAGAGTAGCGTTTCTTGGTCATATAGTCTCAGGGGATGGAATCTCTGTAGACCCGACTAAGATTGAGGCAGTAATGAAGTGGCCTAGACCGACCTCAGTAACAGAAATCCGAAGTTTCTTAGGATTAGCTGGCTATTATCGATGCTTTGTAGAAGGGTTCTCGTCGATAGCCATGCCGTTGATGCGATTGTTGAAAAAGGAATCTAAGTTTGAATGGAATGATAAGTGCGAGAAAAGTTTCCAGGAGTTGAAACATAGGCTTACCATTGCCCCAGTGTTGACCATTCCGTCTGGGCCAAGTGGATTCAAGGTTTATAGTGATGCTTCGTTAAGAGGACTTGGTTATGTCCTGATGCAGCATGGAAAGGTAGTTGCGTATGCGTCGCGTCAGTTGAGGTCACATGAAATGAACTATCCGACGCACGATTTGGAGTTGGCAGCAATAGTCTTTGCCCTTAAGATCTGGAGGCACTATTTGTGCGAAGAAAAGTTTCAGATTTATACGGATCATTAGAGCCTCAAGTACTTGTTTTCACAGAAGGAGTTGACTATGAGGCAGCGCAGATGGATGGAACTTCTGAAAGACTATGATTGCGACATCATGTACCACCCAGGGAAAGCAAATCGAGTAGCGGATGCGCTAAGTCGTAAATCAAGTATGGCGCATATGATGGTCAGAGAGTGGACCTTGCTGGAAAGACTCAGGGATTCGGAATTTAAATTTGAGGTGAGTCAGATGTCGAGCCTGATGGCTGCATTGAGAATTGAACCGGAAATCCAGGCAAGGATTAAGGCACTCCAATCTACGAACCAAGAAATACGAAAGATTGTCGGATTGGATGCCGCTGCAAGGAAACCGGAATTTCAAGTGAATGAGGACGGAATTTTGAAGTTCCAAGGACGATTGTGTGTGCCTGATGATTTGGAGCTTAAGGAGGAAATTCTAAGTGAGGCACATCGCAGTAAGTACAGTATCCACCCAGGTAATACAAAGATGTATCAGAATTTGCGGCAGCATTATTGGTGGAATGGACTAAAGAAAGACGTGGCCAAGCATGTGGCCAAGTGCCTGACGTGCCAACAAGTTAAGGCACAACACTGTAAGCCTGGAGGGCTGTTAAGACCGTTAGAGATCCCTGAATGGAAATGAGAGCATATCACTATGGATTTTGTCTCAGGACTACCGAGAAGCCAGAGAGGGCATGATTCCATTTGGGTGATAGTGGATAGATTGACAAAGTCAGCGCACTTCCTGGCAGTGCGAAAAGATTTCGAATTGGAAAGGTACACAGAATTGTATGTTCGACAGATTGTTAGATTGCATGGAGTACCAGTATCGATCACGTCGGACCGTGATCCGAGGTTTACGGCCAATTTTTGGAAAAGTTTGCAATCGGCCTTAGGAACGAAGTTGCAGCTTAGTACTGCCTATCATCCGCAGACGAATGGCCAGTCTGAGAGAACGATTCAGACTTTGGAGGATATGTTGCGTGCCTGTGTTTTGGACTTCCAGGGTAAATGGGAAGAACAGCTGCACTTGGTAGAGTTCGCATATAATAATAGCTATCAGCAAAGCATTCAGATGGCACCGTTTGAGGCCTTGTATGGCAGGGCGTGCAGGACACCAGTATGCTGGGATGAAGTCGGGGAAAGGAATATCACAGAGCCCGAATTGGTTCAGCAGTCAGTCGAAGCAGTTGAGGTTGTTATTAAGGAAAGATTAAGGACTACGCAAAGTCGCCAGAAAAATTACGCCGATCGGAGAGGCGACCTTTGGAGTTCCAAGTGGGAGATCATGTGTTTCTCAAGGTGTCGCCTATGAAAGGATTGTCCCGATTTGGTAAGAAAGGAAAGCTCAGTCCAAGGTACGTCGGTCCATTTGAGATTTTAGAGAAGATTGATGATATGGCTTACCGACTTGCCTTGCCGCCCAATTTATCCCAAGTGCACAATGTTTTCCACATGTCAATGCTGAGAAAGTATGAACCAGATCCGACCCACGTTCTAAGGTATGAGGAGATAGACGTGGACGACAGGGTGTCGTACGTGGAGAGACCAGTAAGGATAGATGACAGAAAAGATCGTGTATTGAGGAATAAGACGATCCCGATGGTCAAGGTTGTATGGGAGCACCACGGAACTGAAGGTGCCACGTGGGAAAGTGAAGAGGCCATGAGACGTCAGCACCCCCATTTATTTGAGTGATTAAGTGAGTTTGCAAATTTCGAGGACGAAATTTTTGTAAAGGGGAAGGATTGTAACAGCTTGAATTTCGATGTAATTTCGGGATCAATAAAATTTACATTATTTCGCATTTCATTTTAGTAAGTCTCGCCCAGAGCTGATCACTCTTGGGATACTAACCAATGGGGTATAGCTAACTAGGAGAACGGTACGTGGACCAGGGACCCGATAGCGAATCGGACCCCGATCTCGAGAAACGATGAGTGAAGTTTATCATCTGATGACAATTTACATTTAAGTTTATCATACGCATCCATCTGATATTGATCATACAAGTTGTTGACTTAGACTATATTCATTCCACACGTGTAAATCATTCAATTTGATAAAATCACCTATTCACCCCCTTCTAGGTGATAGCACTAGCCGTAAGACATTTGATGCAAGACAAATCCTGTATGTCTAATACCATGAGTGAAGTTAACAAATCATCAAGGCAGTTGAGAAAGTGTCCTACTCCACGCCAACTTGTTGACGGGTCTGATGGGGAGGCTAACTCTGATGGCAACAACTCAGCTGAAGTTCATACTCATAGTCCCTCCAATGGAGATGAACTATATGATGGTGATGAATATAGGACACGGAATTCCTCACAGAAGAGAAGTACTCCAAGAAAGTCAGAAAGACCATTGGCTAAGAAACATAAAGAAGAAAGGAAGAAAGAAGCCAATAAAGCCTCTGAAAAAAGTACTGGAGAACCTTGCAAGAAGTTCTCTCACTCTACTCAGCATGGCAAAAGATGTGATAATAACATCTATGGGTGTTTGAGAATTCCCTATTTGATCTCTCTCTCTCACCATAGGCATATTGTTTCCTCTTATGTAGTGGATAAGGTTCTGCTTCAAACCCCAGAGGATGAAATTGACTATCGAAAGTTGCGCATTAAGGATCTAATTCTTCTTGCAGAATATAAGGAGCGTTTAACGGTACACAATACGATTCTTTAGTTTTTTCATGGTTTTTTGGAATTCTGATCCAGAAACTTGTTGCTATTCTTCATTATGGTGCTTATACGTGTGTGTTGTTTTGCAGGTCAAAAAGGCAAAACCATCAAAAGCTAATTCAAATAATTACAGGTATCTGAATCCACTGTGATATTTGCCTCTGCTATTTTATTTGACAATGCAAATAGTTATTGCCAAAGTTTGTTCATAATTGGTTTAGCTGATTGTTTTAATAAATAGTTTCTTGGAAGCTCTTATTGGATGAACTCCGGCCTTTTCTTTTCCCAATAACAGATTTTGAGAGACAAAATTTGTGGTGGCTTGTGTTACATTACCCTATGGCACTGGGTTGTCTGCTTCGAACATGATACATCATGCCCTCATGATGCATAATATCATTGCGGGCCTTCTGAGATCTTGGGAGAAGTCAAAAGCTGCTTATACTTTTTCTAATTTCTAATGTAGGCAATGGTCTGTTGATGCATTTTCCGAGCAGGATATTGTCTAATAATGATAACATCTGGTTTGGGTTTTAACCAATTTGTCTGACAAAATGCCAAGTAAATGGAAGAAAAATCAAAAGTTGATTAACCTGGCCATTTCTTTGTTGAAAGTAGAAATTTTGGAGTCTGTTTAGATTCTGCAGTAGTTTAATTGTGTTTTGTGCCTGGACTGACAGTCAGAAAAACTAAAGCTGCGACTTGATTGTATTGCATATGCTAGACGGCCGAAATAGAGATAATAGAAACCTAGTACATGGCTTTTGCATTGATTATGCGCTTAGTGAAATTATGCTGAGTACATTGCTGTTAGGAGTTTAATTGCATATCAATGCAGTGCTGACAAATCAACTCAAGGAGATGCTTCTCATAAGGAAGGTGACAGTTTTCCTTCTGACCAAGGAAAAGACTCCACTAACGAAGCCAGCAGTAGTGCTCAACCAGCTCCTCTTTTGTTCAATTGCCAGTCTTTCATGGAGAAAACACCTCGCACTAGGTGGTCAAAGCAAGACACTGAACTATTTTATGAGGTGCGTGGAATCAGATTTTAACTCAAATCTATTTGCTTTGTATATCTTAATCTTCTGTAGAGAATTAGTTGCAGATGAACTGCCTGGTAATTTTTTTTTTCTGATTCCCCTCTTTGCTTGAGCATTTGAGTATCGGCCTACCAAGGAAGACTATTCTATCTTTATTGAAATTATTTCTGGTTTTTTTTTTCTTTCTTGCTTTTGGCTTGAGATTGAGAATTGGTACATTATTTTCTTCAGAAAAATGGTCAGTTTTGATTAGGGGTTTAGAGTTCCTTTCTATCTGAGACATAAATGCAGCACATTACTGGACCACCAGTTCAATACTTAGTTCGGCATGCCTCGCAACATGTTCCAGGGTATAAGGCAATTTGGAACGGATCTCTCAATGATTAAAGAACTCTTCCCCAAATTGACACGCCAGCAAATAAAGTTGAAATTTAAGAAAGAAGAACGTCAAAATCGGTTAAGGTTTTCTGAAGCTTTGGACAGCCGTGCAAAAGGTGAGACAACTCCAACTTCTTTATCTATTTTCTTTTCCTTTTCCCTGTTGATAGCTATAAGAGAAAAATTATAGAACTGACGTGGGATTAATGAAGACAAGATAATGGATGGTCGCAAACTATTTTTTATCTTTACACCTTCGTCTTTGTGTCGAAAATGATATCTCTGTCTTTATCAGAAAAACCAAAAAACCCGATATTACCAGGAAACTTTATTTTGTCAAAAACCAAATGGAATATATGAAGTAAATTCGTTAGATCATCAATAGAGAGATCCTTAGAACTTTAAATTATAAAATCACTGACCTATATAGGAAGTAACCCTTTAATCAAATCTAAACAAACTTAACTATGTGTACTATTTATACCTTGTGAACGAACTGTACCTGACACATATAATTTTCCAATTTCCAGTAGTTAAGGTACCTAAAAATGGACAAACCACAAAAACTATGCACGCTCCGTAGTATATTATTCAACTAAAATCCTCACAGTGATGATTATGGCAATGCATGCATGACAACTTCTATCTTGTTTGCATATAAGCCACGTCAGTTCTATCATTTTTACATCTTCATTTTCGGACATAATATTCTTCTATAACAGAGCCATTATCAATGGTTGCTCATTTTTTCAAGTAATTCCTTTGACCTCCCTGTTTTGGAGCAGAATCTCTTGTTATTTTCACACCACACCACTCCACTTGTATTTATTTAGTTTTAGCGTGGATTTTGTTGGGTTTGGGAGGTTGATGTGGATAGTTGGGGGGATTATTTGTTTAACATTACTGTCAGTAGTTGTACTTGGAACTGCAATTATAGATCTTTGCTCACGAATCTTTATGTATGATCTTATTCATGCATAAGGTCATTACTGGAGCAATTTCTTTGTGCATTAGCATTGCTCCACATTGAAATGGTTTCACACTGCTCTTTTCCCCTGGTTTTAGTCATTCTTTCATGGGCTGCAACGGATATACCAGATTCAGAACTTTTCATCGACAGTCATTACTGAAAAATAGTTGTCTGTCTCTATCGTATTTGAATTGTGCTTATCTAAAAACGTCATGGGTTCCCTGGCATAAGCAATGTTGTAGAGTCTTCTTTGGCATGTCAGGTGTTGACTTGTCAATATGCGATATTCCCCTACGGACACCGCAGTCAAATTGTTCAGTTAGATCTTTGGTATACTTTTTCTTATCCTAGCGGGAAATCGGATGTTATGTAAGTGAATGTCCATTATATTGTGTTATTTCTGCAGATCATTCTCATTTTGAATTGGTGATTGAGCGTCTCCAAGCTGCTGCTCAGGCAGGGAAAGAATCAAGTAAAGATGTTTCAGCAAGCATGACGGCTGAGGAAGAGGATGGGGAGTCATCACCTGAAACCAATGTAGGTATAAAGGAAACAAGTTATAAACTAAAGTGTGCATGACTGTCTAACTGGATCTGTGGACTATTTGGTCTAGTGATTGTTTGAATTGACAGTTCAACCAGTCCTAGTGGTTTATCCACCATTTGAGCAGTTGTTGATGTCTTGATGAAAACAGTTATGATAAATGGTATACCTGTATGAAATGTTGCCACAAAATCACGTTGGTCAGATGCCGAGTGTGCACATTTAAAAGTTGAGGGCTAAGGTTCGTGCTTCGCGCTGTAGAAGTATTGTATTTTAGGTAACAATCTTGTTGATACAGTAAATGATGAATCAATCTTTCGTACAAATAGAATGGTGGGTGAGTGGCATAGTGTTATTGTTGCATTGTATTGAGGGATTGATTCCCCTGGCTCATCGCTGACTCGTACATTTTCCATGATCAAGGATCAGAGAATCAGTTTAATAAGGATGACCATTTACTTTCACTGGATGAACAGGTGGACACCGAGTCAGTCTGCTTTTTGACCTGCGACATGTCATTTAATCAATCTGAATAAACTACTGCACAATCCTAGTTGGGTTGTAATTCTAGGAAAATCGTTGAATGTCAACATTAAAAGTAAAGTAACATACATCTTAATTGGTAGCACCCGTAACAATTGGTTGTTGAACGCACAGAGCTGGAGTTCAAATATTGATGTCATAAAGGCTGCGGTTTTATCTTGGTAAATCTGGCTGTTTATTGATGTGTTTCTTGGGTTGCAGGAGGAAGCAGAAAAGCCTGCAGAAAAGCCTGAGAAAGATGAGGAAGTAGGAGATGAAGATGGTAAAGGTGATGCTGAAGTTCGTGATAAGTCTGATGAAAGTGATGATGACCTTTTCAATTGCTTGGGTTCGTACAAAAGGGAATTCTAAATATTTTGGTTGTTTCTAACCATAATTGTTGGCGAACTTTGCTCGATACACGGAGCGGCTCATTTTTGTCCGTAACTTGTCATAGTTTCAAAAATTATTTTGATTTGATAAGAGGGAATCTTATAATTGCCGTTATTTAGAGTATGTGATCTAACCTTGCTAATGTAGAATTGATACTTTGGTCTAGCAATCTTCTCACGGTCCTGAAGGGCATGGCTACCTAATTTCATCTCTGATGGTATTTCATTTCATGGTTTTGGCTAATGACAGCTTTATGTAACCGTGTCGAATGCAATGAGAGTTTCCTAGTCGCTTGAGTTGTGCCTGTCCTGGATACAGCTCACATTCCTATTGTGTTTCGACTAGGTTTGCGAATCCATGTTGTCTATTATGGTTACCAAGAGAAGCCGTAACCTGTCATTGTTCAAGTGTGTTGACAGTGAGATACTGGTTTCTGTCAACAGCTTCGATCAAATCAGAGGGCGTTAGCATTTTCATCGATTCTCTTTGATTAACTCATCGGCTCATACCTGGTCGAGAAGCTCGGATTGTTGCGATATTTTTGTTAGACTCGCATTTCGTATTTTTCATTCGACTTGCTAAAACCATTTTGATTGCATTGACGAGATTCTGAAGCCGTGTTCCAGTAGTCAGCTGGCAGAGTCGTTCATCTGAAATTTCTATAAGAATATGTAGCACATGTGGGATTATTTTTTTTGGTTCAAAAGAAATGAATGTTTATGATTTTGGGTCGAAAGAAAATTTTATTCATTGCATCATCCTACACTTTAAGATAAACTAACTGAGAATAAACACTGAAAAGAGAAGCAAAATCTCACGTTTTCCTTCTTTTAGTGTTTACGCTCTATAAATAAATAATGCATAAATGAGGGAGGTCATTTGTGAGGCCCTTACTCTATCAAAGGAATGGATTTGAAGTTGCGTCTCAGCCGGACAGGTTGTATGGTTAAAAGTATATACACCTTAGCTCATGCAATATAAAATTGGATCAGCTTGCAATTGAAGTGGCCAGATAAAGTTTGCATTATGGTAATTAGGCTTTGTTGGTTCCGGGGAAAATTTATTATCATAAGATATTTTCTCATTTTCTAGCATTTAGATCGCTTAGAAAAATAACCCATCGTAAGATCTTTCATAATGGAATTAAATTTAGAAAATTACTTTTTCTTTTAAAAATCGGGAATCATTTTTCAAAATATGATTGGATATTGATGCCCAAACTTGATCCCCAACAGCCGAGCTAGGTACGTAGCTCCCGATACGCTCATGCTTGGGTCCTAGATGGTCGTGCCTAAGTCCTTAGTGGCGGTGCTTGGGTCCCAGCTCCCGCTTTGGGGACCCTTGCGTTTAGGCTCGGCCTTGACGCCAAATCAGGTCCCCCACTTTTAAAAAGTTCATGACCCAATTTTTTGATAATGTGGCTTGATTTTCAAGAAAAAATTTGGGATCAGTACATTCCAAGTATCGGGTCAAGCGAACAACCATGGTAAATAGCTATGATAAGTTTTTTGTTAAAAATCCTAGTCACCATAATTATTACAGCATCAATAAGTTTATGAGTTGATCAACAAGGTGGAATTAATTGATTGGATTAAATCATACAATTCCTGACACCTCATGATTGGATGGTCGTGGTTAAAAGATGTGGTATTTTAAGATTCGGTCGTCCGATGTGGGCAAATAGGGTATTGTTGCAAAACTCTTGATGGGCAAGCCCCCGTGGTACCCTTCAATAGAACTTTTAACTAAGTAATATTTTCGGTCAACTTGGGTCAAATCTCATGTCAAAATTTAGGTGCCTATACACAGTACATAGCACTACGAGTTTATGTCAATATTTGTAAAGGAATCACTTATCTATTTAGAATGTACACATCTTTAAAAAAATGGTATAGGATAACCGGTATCTTTTTGTTGGATACCTTATACCGGGTAGATAGAGCGTAAATATGGATATCAAAGAAACAAAGTGACATTCGACAATAGCGTAGAGACAAGGATCCTCTGTCCCATGTCCTCTTTCATCTCTATGTTCCACCACTAAATGAACAGCACATGTGAGCATTCTAATACATGTTTCACCAAATTTAATGAGAAAACTCACCGTCACCTCCAAATAAGATGCAGATGTGTCTGAATGTAACAAAATACTACCTAATATCAATTATCTGACTCTTACAAAACAGATCCGGTTCTCGGGTAGAACTAGAAACTAGCCTTTGGTTACGGTTCGATTCTAATGCAATCAATTCAGTTCCTCGATCTAATTTTGGGAATCGAGATTTATAGGTTACGTTCCATGTTCCGGTTTTGGAAGTTTCCCACCCTGAAACCAATCACTCTTGATTTCACACACCTTTGTACTTCACCCATTATTTAAAAACCTATTTTGTGTGGAAGTTTGATCACTATATGGTCAAGTTTGAATCAAAGTACAACCTTTTTGTTTTCACAATCGCTATTTGTCAAATTTGCCTTAGATCGATTTAGATCCAACAATACCATAACCGGTATCCTCCATCTTAGTAACCAGTTAAGTCTCATCCTTGACATTTCTTGTATGAATATCATCAATCATTTAATTTTCTTTAATATACCGAATGTTTTTGTAAATAGTTTCCAAAAAAAGATGTAATTTCTTAGGATTCTGGTTGAACCTACTTACAATTGTATTTTATAAGTGTAATTAGACCATTTCCTTTCTTCGATATACTTCCTTAGGCTCCGTTTGTTTTACGGAAAATGAATGATTTGAAAAATATTTTCCTGAAAATGATCGTTTGTATCATTTAAAATAATTAGCCAAAGAAAATGTTTTTCATTATCGACAACAATTTATATCTAAATATTTTCGTGGACGATGAAAATATTTTCCTTTTGTTTATTTTTATAAGCCATACAAGCGATCATTTTTAGGAAATTATTTTCAAATTATTCATTTTTCGCGAAATAAACGGAGTATGAGAAATGCTTGACTTCTCAACTTTTTCACTAAACATCGAACAAAAAAGATTTTTTCACTAAACTTGGTAATTCGCCATATCATACTCTAGGCAAGATAGACACATCCTAAGGTAAATACTCAACATAAATAGAAAATTACTCTATATATAATCGTGTCAAAGTGACATTATTTTTTGAGGGGTACAAGCCCATTATACAAGATTCATACATTAATTATGAGGCAGGGTGAATTTAAGAAACCCTAATGCCAATAAAGAACATAGATGATTTCGAAAAATGGTTAATTTGGTGTTGCTCCTTCTTTTGGTTTGTAGAGGTTGATCTCTCTTTGATTGAGCAGTTGCACAGGCCTTGCATTCTCTTCCGCATACTGCAATTTGAATTCTTCATCAGATGTCGATACATTTTTGCATAGGACAATATCTTCCTCCAATCACGTCTCTGACTAGTGAGTTCCAAGCTATGGATATCATCTATGGGTAAACTTAATTAGAATTAAATGTGGGCGATCTCCACTTTTTGGGCATTGGTTGGAGGACAACATGACCCTTTCACACAAATCATGTCACGCCCCGAACCCCAACGAGATCGCGACATTCCTCTTTGGTCGAATGATGCGATATCCCAGGGTATCGCCGACCCCACTTATAATCATCAGAGATTTAATTCAACAGCGGAAACAACAATTCACCCTGACAATCATCTCTGGGGAGAGTAGGGAGAATACACATATTCTTTTCTCATTCAAACTTATACCATAATATTCACAATTTTACAAACCATCATATACATGTGCACACCGTACTATGAAACATCGATATCAAAAAGAACCGATGACCTGGTCATTCTATTCTAAAAAATGGAACACCCCCAAAAGTATAAAATCCACCCCTAAGCTAGCCCTTACGCCCTTTACTCAGCGTCCATTCTGAATCCGACTCATCGTCCTCTGAATCTGGGTCTCCTTGAACAGTCTCATCTTCTGAGGATTCCGGCTCAGCCTCAATCTCGATTGGGTTATTGATGTCACCAGATTCTGCTGGAATCTCATTTTGCCCTTCCGAGTCGGACTCCCTGTTGATCCTATACTCTGGTACGAATTCGGGGTCAGCCCACTGCTCAAACGGGAGAATATAATCAGGTTCTCCTTCTGACTCGTCCTCAGGTTCGACAGGCTCGTCCTCGGGTTCGGCTTCAGGCTCTACATCCTCTGGTTCTTCCTCGAGAACTGGCTCAAGATCTACGTCCATTGGGTCAAATTCTGCTTGCGATCCTTCGGGCTCAGGTTCGTGATCAGCCCCTGAAGGTCCTTGTGCTGCCGGCGCTGGATGCAATCCAGACTAAGCCATACTGGTCTCCGCATTAGTCAATTCGCCGTTAGGAGGGGGTACAGCAGTCGGGTCCCAGTCCCCAACTAAATCAAAAAGGACGTCAAAATCACGGACGGGTCCAAATTCGTCTACCCCGTCCCTGAAGAACCAGGCGGTATATTTATGCTCTTCCCATAGGGGTACACCTACGTATACAAAAACTGTAGTGGTATACTTAATCCAGGTCATATTGTCAGCCATGGGAAACTCTAAAACTTCCAGTTCGGTGTGCACTGGTACTCCAAAACGCTCAGGTGGCGGCGGGGGATTCATTAATTCTGCAGGGGTTCTGAAATGTTGGGTTGAAATAATCGTGAGACTACATCTCAGTAAGAACACCCCTAAACCCCACCTAGACTATCACATACCTCCAGATAATCACCAAACACAATCACACACACATTCATCATATAACAGGCACATCAATTATTTTTACCTGGGCCTATCCTGCTTGTACCCTGCACGTTAGTCGCAACTAAATATATGCAATCACATGCATGCTTAATTCTTATTCTTGCTCATTCGTCCCGGTCTAATCACATCTTTTCCACACTCTCGCCAGTGGCCCGCGTTACAGTACACGCCTCAGGCCATGTTTCTTGCCCACGTTGAAGTACACGCCTCAGGCTCAACATCTACCACCTACTGCACAACCCACGTTGAAGTACACGCCTCAGGCTGGCAGTCTTCCGGTAATACCGGGCATCGTCCCGCGTTGAAGTACACGCCTCAGGACGGCACAATTTTCACAGTCGCACATGCCACCCCACATTCGTTTTCTTGCTGATGTGCATACTCAACAGTTACTTGCCACTCAATCGGCCAGTCACACTCG